GATCGTTCTTGTTTTCTCAATAACCTACTACTAAGATATTCCATTCCTGATGACCTCCTTAGTTCTTCAACAAATAACTCAGATCTCAGAGAATGGGTATTTAAGCATGATGCTCTGTTAGATAGACACTCAGTTTTAAAATCATAATCTGCTACCTGGTTTGAATCATTTAAGAACGATCATTTTAGATCACCATACCTGGTTAATATAGATAATCATAACCTTAGAGCAGCTTTTATCTTTGCGCTTTGAATCAATGCCTACGGCCGTACTGGTCGGCCGCTATAGTAGAACACCCAAGGCACAACGTTTATGTATTTGTGGCTCTTCTGCTATTGAGGATCTCTCCCAATACATTTTTGATTGCCCATTGTATTCTCAGCCTAGGTCAAAAATTTTATCTGGTATTTTACCAGTTTTAAGCTTTTACTCAGTGCCAGAGAAGATTATATTTTTGCTAGCCGATGCCAATGCCGATGTGTCCAATAGAATGGCTCTATTTGCCTTGGCTGCAAGGAAAATACGGGCCGACGCTGTTCCTAGCTAATACTGATTTTAGTGGGTATGTTGTGAATTAATTAACTGTTTATAACCTCGGTTTTATGGATTTATAATGTTCTAGACTGTATCTTATTTTATACAATTTTTTATGTTTTATTGCATTCTTCTCTGTTTGTGGTTTGTAATGGCCTATGGCTAAATAACAATAAAAACCTTCTCTCTCTCTCTCTCTAGTTAGCATGGTGCCCTTGGCTTTAACACAGCGGTCCTTGTCCCAGACCTACCATGTGCTTGCAAGACTACAAAGTTACACAGAGCCACACTTCAGTTTGAAACAAAATAATCTACCTTATTCTAGAAATACATGCTTGATAGTGCAAAACGCCACGGCCAGGCTGTTGTTGGGTCTCCCTATGTGGGAGCACATCCAGCCTGTGCTAAAGTCGTTACACTGGCTCCCAATAGCGTTCCGGATTTGCTTCAAGGTGCTGTTTTTGACCTTTAAAGCCCTATATGGTCAGGGGCCTGCCGACCTGAGGGACCGCCTTTCCCCATATGTCCCCCAGAGAGCACTGCGATCTGGAACTCAAAACCGCCTGCCCCCCCCCGGGCCTAGGGATGCCAGGTTGGCGGCAACTAGGACCAGGGCGTTCTCCCTGGTGGCGCCGACGCTTTGGAACGAGCTCCCTACTGAGATCAGAGCTCTGCGGGACCTCCAGCAATTCCACAGAGCCGTGAAAACGGAGCTGCTCCGCCGGGCGTTCCAGTCATAAAATTGATTTCATCGGTTGAGTAGCACTTCCACTTTATTATATGAAGCCATTGCACTTAAATAATTTAACTGTATTCATCGGAATTGTTATGGATTCATATTTTATGTTGTTTGTTGGGTTTTATATTGTATGTTGGTTTTAGACTCTATGTAAGCCGCCCTGAGCCGCTTCGGTGGGAGGGCGGGGTAGAAATTTAATAAACAAATAAATAAATGATAGTACAGGGTAGAGAGATAGGGTCAGTTCCTAGACTATCTAGCTAGGAGATGGATGCAGATGCTGAGAGGCATCCCTGCATCTCCATCTTGTGCGCATGAAAAAGAGAGAGAGAGAGGGAAGAGGGGGATGGAAGGAAGTTGCTTTTCCCTAGAGCAGTGATGGCGAACCTTTTAGAGACCGAGTGCCCAAACTGCGACCCAAAACCCACTTATTGATCGCAGAGTGCCAACACGGCAATTTAACCTGAATACTGAGGTTTTACTTTAGAAAAAACGACTCAAACATTAACTTAAGATGATCTTCCATTGACTTAAAATTATTTGGCAGAGAATGCGACACTTTAATGATGGTCTGGGCCTGGCTGGGGCGATGGCACGCGTGCCCACAGAGAGGGCTCTGAGTGCCGCCTCTGGCCCCCGTGCCGTAGGTTCGCCACCACTGGCCTAGAGAGTGTTGATCTACACTTCAAAGGGATTCTCAGTGACAGAAGAGAGTAAACAGGAAGATGCTGGGTGCTTGCCTATCTGCCTGCAACATGGTGGTCACTTGCTTCTGGAGGCTAAGGCGCTGGGACATCGCATCTGGTACTTCCAAGGATCCAAAGACACGGGAAAGTCTCTGCTTTCCTCTTCATGCGCCAAATATTTCCTCCCCAGTACTTCATGACTCCCAATTCCATTGTGCATTGAGGTAGCCTGCAGGACTTCCTCCTTCTTGTGCCAAGGCTTTGTCAGGCAACACAGTAGGAACAAGGAGGGGGTGGCAGGGGGAGGCCGTTCCCATGAACTGGTAAAGGGGGCTCCCTCTGAGTCATTCACAGGAGAGATGGGGAGGAGGGGTTTGATGGGGGGGGGATACCAGATCCTGAATTCTTGTTGAGAAGAGTGAAAAGAACATAAGAACATAAGAAGATCAGACCAGCGAGGGTCCATCTAGTCCAGCATCCTGCCTCACACAGTGGCCAGCTGGTTCCTCTGGAGGGCCAACAACAGGGCAGAGAGGCCGAGGCCTTCATAAGAACCTCAGAAGAGCCCTGCTGGGTCACACCAGTGGTCCATCTTGTCTAGCATCCTGTATCACACAGAGGCCAACCAGTTCCTCTGAAGGGCCAACAACAGGGCATAGAGGCTGAGGCCTTCATAAGAACATCAGAAGAGCCCTGCTGGATCACACCAATGGTTCATGTAGTCCAGCATCCTGCCTCACACAGTGGCCAGCCGGTTCCTCTGGAGGGCCATCAACAGGGCAGAGAGGCCGAGGCCTTCATAAGAACCTCAGAAGAGCCCTGCTGGATCAGACCAATAGTCCATCCAGTCCAGCCTCCTGTCTCACACAGGGGCCAGGCAGTTCCTCTGGAGGGCCAACAACAGGGCAGAGAGGCCGAGGCCTTCATAAGAACCTCAGAAGAGCCCTGCTGGATCAGACCAATAGTCCATCCAGTCCAGCCTCCTGTCTCACACAGGGGCCAGGCAGTTCCTCTGGAGGGCCAACAACAGGGCAGAGAGGCCGAGGCCTTCATAAGAACCTCAGAAGAGCCCTGCTGGATCAGACCAATAGTCCATCCAGTCCAGCCTCCTGTCTCACACAGGGGCCAGGCAGTTCCTCTGGAGGGCCAACAACAGGGCAGAGGAGCCCTGCTGGGTCAGACCAGTGAGGGTCCATCTAGCCCAGCATCCTCCTGTCTCACACAGTGGCCAGCCACTTCCTCTGGAGGGCCAACAACAAGGCAGGGAGGCCGAGCCTTCCCCTGATAAGAACATCAGAGGAGCCCTGCTGGGTCAGACCAGTGGTCCATCTAGTCCAGCATCCTGCCTCACACAGTGGGCAAACAGTTTCTCCGGAGGGCCAGAGGTCGAGGCCTTTCTAAGAACCTCAGAAGAGCCCTGCTGGATCAGACCAGGGAGGGTCCATCCAGTCCAGCAACCTGTCTCAGACAGTGACCAGACAGTTCCTCTGGAGGGCAGAAAGACCAAGGCCTTCCCCTGAGAAGAACATCGGACATCGGATGAGCCCTGCTGGATCAGACCAGTGAATCCAACGGTGTCAACCCAGTGTGCTAGGGGGCTGGAGCCCCTTCCCTATGAGGAAAGGCTGAAGGGTCTGGGACTTCTCAGTTTAGAAAAGAGACGACTAAGGGGGGAAATGACAGAGGTTTATAGAATGATGCTGGGCATCCCCCACCCCAGCAGGGGCCTGGCAACCTGTAGCTACCGTTTCAGAGCTGGACTCAGGTGGTCTAAAAAGCCCATGGCGTCCTGATCCTGACTGGGCCTGCAGCATGACAGGACCAGGCCCTTTTGTTCCCATGCCTCAGGGTTGCCAGCCTCCAGGTGAGGTCTGGAGACCCCCCACTTTTGCAATTGGTCTCCAGACTACAGACATCAGTTCCCCTGGGGGGTAATGACTGTGTTGCAGGGTGAACTCAATGGCATTATACTCTGCTAAGGTCCCTCCCCAAGCCCTGACCTCTCTGGGCTCCACTCCCAAAAACTCCAGGTAGAATGTTGTTGTGGTTGTTCAGTCACACAGTTGAGTCCGACTCTTCGCAACCCCAAGGACCACATCACAGCAGGCCTTCCGGTCTTCCGCCGTCCTCCGAAGTTGGCTCAACTTCATGTTCGTTGCATCTATGACACTGTCTAACCATCTCATCCTTCTTCTGTTACCTTCACACCATCTCACCTTCTGTTACCTTCTCTCTTTCCCAGCATCAGGGTCTTCTCCAGGGAGTGCTCCCTTCTCATTGGGGGGCCAAAGCACTTGAGCTTCCCCTTCAGTATCTGGCCTTCCAGGGTTGATTTCTTTTGGGATTGACTAATTTGATCTCCTTCCAGTCCAAGGTACTCTCCAGAGTCTTCTCCAGTATAGTGGGCAATAAACAACACAACTGGTAGCACTGCCTGGCTGGGAGATGTGGGGTGATGGGACAGAGTCAATCTCGCTATGCATTTTATGGTTCATTTGTCATGGCAACCAAGGGGTGGGTGTGGGAGAGTGTGAAACTGAAATGCTTTGACTTTGCCAGACCACTTTGAAGTAGCTTGCATCCTTATCTCCTCTGGGAACCCAGATGTCCTTGGTACTCAGCTTTCACAGCTCGGCTTCATCTTACATATGGGGGGGATGGCATAGTAGGGGGTAGTTAGCCCTTGCTTTTGGTGGGCAGAATAACAAGGGGTGATTGGTCCTGGGACTTCAGGGCCCCTGTTTGAGCCTTGTATATCTGTTGCATTCGCGCCTCTAACCTCAGTTCTAACACCACCCGTGTCTAATCTGGATCCTATCAATGTCTCAATAAACTTATCATTCTTCGGAGTTAATGTTGTTGGGAACTGATTTATCCAGGAGTCTGACAGACAGGAAGCAGGGAGAAGAAGGGTGAAGGCTTGGCGTGTTATGATATCTGCAATAAAATGAGTTGAGAACCAAAACTCACTCTCCGGGGGCTTGCTCCAACAGTCTGCCAGGCTGAAGTTTCAGTGACCGTCTTCTCCTCTACCCTTGCAGATAAACCAGGCTCCTGCCCAAAGTTTGCCGGTGGAATTTCTTCTCTGGGCTTTTGCATGGACAAATGTATGAAGGACTCTGACTGCGATGACAACGCAAAATGTTGTCAGAATGGATGTGGCAAAAGGAGCTGTTTATCCCCTGACTTATGAGGTGAGTGGCATCTCTTGGATCCCGCACTTGTATTCCTCTGCTGCTTTCCCTCGTCTCCGCAGATGTTTTTGCAGTCCCAAGTGCAAAAGTGCAGAATGCAGTGCAGAATGCAGCAGCCAGGCTGTTGATGGGCCTCTCTATTCAAGAACACATCTGGCCTGTGCTGAGGGAGCTGCATTGGCTGCCGAAAGCATACCGGATTCGCTTCAAGGTGCTGGTTTTGACCTTTAAAGCCCTATATGGCCGGGGGCCTGCCTACCTGAGGGACCGCCTTTCCCCACACATTCCCCAGAGAGCACTGAGGTCAGGCGCTCAAAATCGCCTGACTGTCCCTGGCCCCAAGGATGCCAAACTGGCTATCACCAGATCTAGCGCCTTCTTAGTGGCGGCTCCATACTGGTGGAACGAACTCCCGGAGAACATCAGGGCCCTGCGGGACCTTCTACAGTTTCGCAGGGCCTGTAAAACGGAGCTCTTCCACCAGGCTTTCGATTAGGAGCCGCCACTGAACGAGCTACTGAACATTTATTACTGGCACTTTCTTGGGGATACTGGTCTAGTCATACAGGGCCAACGACAACGATTGCCATCTGCACTTTATCGTTTGTATTTAATCTGCACTTTATATTTTATTGTTAGAATTGTATCTGTTTTTATTGTAAATTATTATTGTACGCCACCTTGAGCCTGCCTGTCAGGCAAGGTGGGATAGAAATCGAAACAAACAAACAAACAAATAAATAAATAAAATGCAGTTTATCCCCTGTTGCTCCGCAGCATCAGACTTCCCTGTTTCCAGGAAATCCGGACACAAGAGAGGGTAAACTATGTTTTTGCTCCTGGGGGGGAGAAATCATCTGCGGAAATGAGAGAAAGCCACAGATGAATAAAAGAGCAGGCAGGGGAAAACTTGACACTGCAGAAAATGTCTCAGTCACCTCTAGAAACAAAGTAGGGTAGCGCTAGGAATTGCTGGAAACTCTATGGTTGTATTTTTAAAAATGGAAGTGATGCGACACCAGAGCTAGCTTCATGCCCCCCCCCCCATATCCCTGTCCACAGTTAGGGTTGCCAGCTCCAGGTTAGGAAATACCTGGAGGTTTGGGGGTTGGAGCCTGAGGAGGGGAGGGTTTGGAGAGGGGAGAACTTCAGTGGGATTTAATGCCACAGAGTCCACCTTCCAAAGCAGCTGTATTCTCCAGGTGAACTGATCCCTGTCTTCTGGAGATCAGTTGTAATTCCAGAAGATCTCCAGCCATCACTGACTTCCCCATAGCATTGAGCACTGTTCATAAAGGAGAGAATTGGGTACCATATAAAGACGTTGAAAATTGTGGGGAAAAAAATTGAAATGAAGGAACAAGAGGAAATAACTGTTAAATATGGATGGCTACAATATAGACAGCTTAAAGATTTTTTTAAGAAAGACAAAAAAGTATTTGGTTTTAGAGAGAAATTGAATAAAATAGAGAGGGTATGGTTTGAAGGGGAGAAAAAAGTAATTTCAAAAGTGTATAAAGTGTTGTTACAATGGTATACTGAAGACGAGGTAGTGAAAGAACAGATGATAAAATGGGCAATAAATATGAATAAAGAAATAACTATGTCATCATGGGAATTTCTGTGGAAAAAAGCATATAAATTGTCAACTTGTGTTAACTTAAAAGAAAATTGTTACAAGATGATGTATAGATGGTATATGACACCTAAAAAGATTGCTAATATGAATACAAATATGTCTAGTAAATGTTGGAAATGTAAGAAAAGTGAAGGCTCGTTTTATCACATGTGGTGGACTTGTGAAAAGGCTAAGAACTTTTGGGCTGAGATTCATGCAGAAATGGAGAAAATTATAAAGTGTAAATTTAAAAAAGAACCAGAAATTCTTTTGTTGGGATTGAAAATGGAAGAAGTTAATATGGCGAAACGAACTCTAATGCGGTATATGATTACTGCTGCAAGAATGACATATGCCCAATATTGGAAGCAAGATCAGGTACCAGAAGTTAATGATTGGATAAGAAAACTACTATTTTTAGTAGAAATGGACAAAATGACACGAAAATTGAAAGATATGGAGGCAGAAGATTTTTTTGAGGACTGGAAAGACTTGAAAGAATATTTGGAAAAGAACGGAGATGTAAAAGATAATCTGTTTTGTTTTGATAATTACTGAAAATTGGTATAATTGCATTTTAAGTACTTGTATTTTAAGTAACTGTTACCTGTAGAAAAAATGGATTTGGGAAAATCGAATATTGAAGTATGGGGCTGGAGGTTGGAACACTGCTGGAAGCTGGCTGAGGGGGAAAGGGTGGGGGGTAGGATATAGGTTAGGACTGTAATGGTGAATATAAGTTTATGTTAACATGTCTAAATATATCCTAATAAATTGTTTTTAAAAAAACGGCTTCAAAACGGGTTAAAAAGGGTAATGTGAAATTCCTCAGTGAATCATAGAATGTTAAGAGTTGGAAAGGACCTTGCAGGTCATCTAATCCAACCCCCTGCACTCTGCAGGAGCATACCTAAAGATAGCTCTACAACATAGCCCTACCACATAGCCCTGTATCTTCACTTGGTTGGGATGGCAACGTTAGACGTGGTGTAAAGTAAAGTTTTATTTTACTTTACACCACGTAAAGCCAGCAATTAACATTTGAATAGACATGGTGTGAATGTGATGTCTGCCTGGGGGAAGGAAGGGGCTTTTATTTGAATTATCTATATTAAGCTTGTACCTGCCAAAAGTCCTCAGTTCTAACACGGTGACTTTCTGGATCTTGCATACATCTCAATAAACGTATCACTGCCAAGAGAGAGTCGTTGAGTGTAACTGGACTGGGGGTCTGACACACGCCCGTGAGCTGATGCACCACCTGTGAAGTCAGCGGTGTTGGCGCTCCCAGAGCCGGGAAGGTCCTGCTTCGACTCTCACCTCAGCTGTGAGGTCCTTCTGTGGGTGTTCGGCGGGCCACTCTCCTTCCATCCTGCAGCCCTGTTGGGGAGAATGGCACTGGTCTCCCCAACAGGGCTGAAATGATGTCGTGAGCCCTTGTTCTACCCAATGGCTTTTGTATAGCCGGACTTCTATCATGCAGAAGCTGAAATGCCAGCAGTTCCATTTGAACTCCAAGCCATCGCTCAGCGGCAGAGCTTCTGTTTGGTGCACAGAGGGTCCCGGGTTCAAATCATAGCGTCTCCAGTTACAAAGCACCAGGCAGGAGGTGATGTGAAAGACCTCTCTGCCTGAGACCCTGGAGAGCGGCTGCCAGTCTGAGTAGACGAGACTGACGTTGATGGACCAACAGGTCTGATTCAACAGGTCTGATTCATTTAATACATGCCGTTTTGTAGTGGTAAGAATGTGTGGAGTTTTTTACTACTTGGACTGCAGGGTTGCTGTTAGTGGTCCCTTTTTACATGCAGTTTCCCTTAGGACGTTTGGTGATTAACATTTAGAGCATGAGGTATCTTTAAGAAACGAATATAAAAGACTATGGTAATGAGTATCAGATAAGGCTGAGGAGCCCGCATTTACACTTTGGTCTGATATACAGCAGAAATGAATACTACAAGCGTTTAGGGTAAGAGTTTTTTATTGAAATTGTTAAATAACCTTGGCAAATGTGTTGTTAGTATGAAATGAATTATGTACATGACCACAGTGATCTGATATGAAATTTTATTGTAGATTTATGAAGAACCCATTTGAAATATTTGTGACTGTATAAGGACACTTCTTTATGTATGTATTCGAGTGTTTTTTAATTACAATCATGATTGTAGCAAGGTATATTGTTCTGAAATAACTGTAAGAATGTTTCTTGTTAGGAGTTTTGATGTGTGAGGAAGTCATCACGAAACGGTACACCAACTCCGGGGAATTTCATCCATCACCTATAGATTATCTGGAATACACAATGTTACTGTTACTGTATATTTTGTAATTTTGTACTCACCTGGAAGATTATTAGTATCACAATTGCATACTTGCAGTAGTTCTCATTTTTTCTAGCTTATTGATGCTGCAACCCCCTACCTGCGTGCTGATTCAGTGTTGTGGCAGCTTCATGTATGAGCAGCACCTGACCAGTCTTCGATCTTCTCCCCACAGATGCAACCCAGGCGGTGCAGAGGAGACGCCACCGGGCAACCTGCTGCCTCTCCCGAACTGGTCCCTGAGGATATGACGGCATCGGCTCTTCCTCCTTCCCACCACCTCCTCCTCTGCCCGGCAGCGTCTCCGTCTCCCACATCCTGCTGGAGCCCCTGAGGCGCTTCCCCAGTAAAACTTGCACTTTCCACAGCAACTCGGTCTCCTGTGGCTTTGTCTCCACCTCCCCTCAGAGACCCGGCCTCCTTTGCTTTGTACATGTGCAGGCTCGGGGCTTTTCTGCACGCTCAACTTAGTCTGCTCTGGAGCCCTCCTTCCTGAGCTAAGACAAAAAGGTGTGTCGGAGGCTAAAAAACTGTGACCTAGTTCACACTAACTCAGGTTAGAGGGAACACCGGGGTAAAAGTGGTCTCAGAAGAACGTGGGGGGGGGGCAGAAACACAAACAAACAGGAACGAACTGAAGGCACAAAAATACATGTGGAAATCAGGGGTTAAACTGAAGCAGTATAGGAACAGAGCTGTTGGGGGGGGGGGAACCCTTGTGGAAAAGGTAGCCACTTGCCAACTTACAGCATTCAAAAGGGGGACAGCACAGGCGCCTCCACCCTGTCCACAGCGTCCTTGTCTCCCATTCCTGATGTGGGAGGAAAATAAAGGCAATGGTTGCTCAGGTTATATTCCAGCACCCAAATTCAAAGCAAAGATGTCTGAATGCACCCTCTCGTGCCACTTGAACAGATCTCAGCAATGGGTCATTCATAGAACTGTAGAATCCTAGAGTTGGAAGGGGTCCTCCAGGGTCATCTAGTCCAACCCCCTGCACAAGGCAGGGAATTCAAAACTGCCTCCTCCCCACAACCACCACCAGTGACCCCTGCTCCATACCCAGAAGATTCTGTTGCCAAGCTAGGAGTTACCTGATTACCTTGTCAGCCAGCCACAAAGAAATACAATGAGGTTGTTAGGAGGGGGGGGGGACTCCGCGGAGTTTGAGCTGCTTGTTAAGCTAAGGTTTGGCCAACTTGTTCTCACAGTGCTCCTAGGGGAGCTAAGAGGTCTCACAAAGCACATTTCATTGATCAAGGTAAGTCAGGTCTTGCAAAGCAGATCTTACCGCGCCATCGTAGACCTTCATTCCTCCGTGAAAGGAAAGTCATGGTCCATTCGGCATCAGGCATTCGCTCCACATTTTCTCAGCACTCGACCTGGTTCCCCCTTGCCTTGGAATATCCGTCTTCATTCCATCTGGTATGCAGGTTTTCCTGTGTCAACACTTGCCTCAATGGTCATTAGCCACCTGAGCCAAGTAATTCATGGCGAGGGGATAAGTACAGAGGGGGGAAAGAGGGGTAGAGGAACTGATGGGGATCCATGAAGCTGTGTCGAGTTGTGGTGCCGCTCAAAACCACATCCAGATACTGACTGTGAAGTCACCCCTGAGGGGCCCAAAATCTATGCAGAAGGTACCAAAAAGTCCAGTGAACAAAGGAAGCGAAAGTGGCATGCAATGTAGAGGGAGATTAACCTCCTGGCGTGACTGTGGGAAAACTGCGAGGAAACAGATGGATGCAGAATCAGCTTATGTTTCAAAGCAGGAAGGGAAGAATCATAGAATCATAGAATGTTAGAGTTGGAAGGGACCTTGCAGGTCATCTAGCCCTACATACTTACAACATACCCGAAAGAGGGTCGTCCAGCCTCTGCTTGAAAACGTCCAGCAAAGGAGCCTCCACCCCCTCCAGAGGCAGACTGTTCCACTGATCAACGTCTCTTACAGTTAGGAAGTTTCTCCTGATATTTAGCCGGTAACGACTCCCTTGTAATTCCCACCCATTAGATCTAGTCTTGCAATCCGGAGCAAGAGAGAATAGAACTGGTCCATCTTCTACATGACAGCCCTTACTTGCAGACTGCAATCATGTCCCCTCTGAGCCTTCTCTTTCCCAGGCTAAACATACCCACCTCTTTCAGCTTTTCCTCCTAAGACTCGGATTCCAACCCTCTCACTATCCTAGTTGCCCTCTTCTGCACACGCTCAAACGTGTCAACATCCTTCCTAAAATGCGGTGCCCAAAACTGGACACAGGACTCCAGATAGGGCCTGACCATAGCAGAATGGAGCGTAACGACCACCTCCCGTGATCCGGACACAATGCTTCTGTGAATGCATCCCAAGATTGCATTCACTTCCTTCGCAGCCACATCGCACTGCAGGCTCATGTTTAGCTTGAGATCAACCAGAACACCCAGGTCCCTTTCACATGTGCTGCTGTCAAGCCAAGTCCCCCCTATTCTATATCCGTGCCTTTGATTCTTTTGTACCTAAGTGTAGGACTTTGCACTTCTCTCTATTGAAATTCATTGTATTTGTCTCCGCCCACTGTTCCAGCCTATCTAGATCATTTTGAATCCTGACTCTGTCTTCTTCAGAATTAGCAACTCCACCCAGCTTCGTGTCACCTGCAAATTTGATAAGCGTCCCCTCTACGTCTTCCTCCAGATTGTCCAGAACACTGAGTGCTGCCTCCTTCTGAAAAGGGAGAGCAGGGGTTGGGACAGCCGGCGTCCATCAGGACAGTCTGAGAGTCTTTCCGGGGCTGCTTCCGACCTGATGCTCAGGAACTCACCTGGGAATGGGAGGACGCAGGTCTGCACATCATGATGCCCTAAGCAGAGACCTGCCCGTTCTGCCACTGCCCGGGTGGGTGCCAGACCTTCCCTCCAGTCCTGGTCATCCTTTGCTCATCTCCGTCTCCTGTCCAATTACTCCCCCCGTTATTTATTGAGCTAGAGCATCTATGTACCCCCTTTCCAGAAACCTGAAAGCGACAGTTTGCAAGATTCAATCACAAAGTCAACAAACGCAAAATTATTAATCCTAAAAGTAGCCATGGCTCTCAGGGTTGTAGCCAGCCCGCCGCCATGTGATCCTTTATCTGATTTGTACTCAACGTAGGCATCATCGGAACCGCCCAGCTCTGTTTTCCTCATTCGCTTTCACAACGGTGAGCCCAGCTCTGTTTTCCTCATTCGCTTTCACAACGGTGAGCCCCAGTTGGTTCTGCCTGAGTGGGATTTATCTCTTGTAGCACAGTGAAATATTACGGGTCTTGACGTCTGATCTTTAGTTATTTATATTAAGCATAACTCTTTTTAATAGGCCGGAATCTGACAAGTATGTACAGGTGCTAACGAAGCCTGTGTGTGTGTCTTCTGTGCCTCAAAGTCACAATAAAAATCAGGTCTCCAAAATTTTTTCATACTTAAGCTAAATGCACAAAGATAAGACGAATCAGGTTTTAAGCTGATTAGCAGAATGCTGTGCAAAGTTTTGCATCCCTGCACACAGACACACACAGAGAGAAAGAGAGATCTCAGCTAAGATCTCTGTCTGGAAGCCACCAGCCGAAAGGCAGATTGTAATGAGATGCCAGTTTGAGAGCCGCCAGTTTGAGAGCCAGTTTGGTGTAGTGGTTAAGTGTGCGGACTCTAATGTGGGAGAACCAGGTTTGATTCCCCACTCCTCCACTTGCACCTGCTGGATGACCTTGGGCAAGCCACAGTTCTGTCAGAGCTGTTCTTGAAAAAGAGCAGTTTCTGTCAGAGCTCTCTCAGCCCCACCTACCTCACAGGGCGTCTGTTGTGGGGAGGGGAAGGGAAAGGAGTTTGTAAGCCGCTCTGAGACTCCTTTGGGTAGTGAAGGGCGGGGTAGAAATCCAATCTCCTCCTCCTCCTCCTCCTCCTCCTCCTCTTCTTCTTCTTCTCTCCCACGTCAAATTAGAGAATCTGAACAACTTTTAAAAGGACTTTGCCTATTCAAACCATTTATGTCAGAGTTCTTCATGATTTATCTATTAAAGGCAGTCTCATCTGATAAGAGTCCCAGGGCTATTTTTGGACAGGAACACACAGGAACGGAGTTCCGGCTGGCTCCCAAATTGGCCACGCCCAGCAGGAACATTAGCATAATAGGCCACACCCAACAGCAGGAACTCATTAGGACTGGCTACATTAGGGGTGTGTGGCCTAACATGCAAAGGAGTCCCTGCTACAAAAAAAAGGCCCTGGGTTTTGACAACAAACAAGGTAAACAGAATAAGAAGCAAAAGGTGGGTGTGGCTGGATGAGCACACTTCTGGTAACATGGAGGCCTAATATGCTAATGAGCTGTGCTGTCAGGCATGTGACCTAATATGCTAATGAGTTTCTGCTGTTGGGTGTGGCGTATTATGCTAATGAGTTCCTGCTGGGCTTTTTCTACAAAAAAAAGCCCTGGATAAGACAAAGAAGAAAGGTATGAGTTGTTCTCTTGAAGTATGTGAAGGTCTGTCACTTAGAGGAGGGCAAGGAGCTGTTCCTCTTGGCTGCAGAGGGAACCCTGCTCAACGGGGTGTCTGTTGTGGGGAGGGAAAGGAGTTCGTCAGCTGCTCTGAGACTCCTCTGGGTAGTGGAAGACCATCGGGTATAAATCCAATCTCCTCCTCCTCCTTCTTCCCTTCCCGTTTCCTCAGTGTGAAACTGGGATACAAGCTGCTTTCACCAGTGGGCCAAACAGCGCTCCTCAAGGCCAGTTCAGGTGGGGGGGGGGGGGGATAGGGGAGACTGAAGCTCCCTCTCTCCATCCCAATCTGGTGTGATCACAGGATTGTGCATGAATTGAGGGGACCCTGCAGCTTACCTCTTATAATAGTGTGGGGAGCCCAGATCCAACCCATGTCCTCCGTGATGTGCAGTTCCTGGTCCAGGACTAGCGTTCCCTCTAAGCCGAGTTAGTGTGAGCCAGCTCACAGTTTTTTAGCCTCCAACGCACACATTCTTGTCTTAACTCAGGAAGGATGGGGCTCCAGAGCACACTAATTTACGCAGCAGCCAGATCGCTCGATCACAACATTAATGCCAAGTAGCTCACAAAGTAGGATTTTTGCTCCAAAGACTTTTGCTCACAGCTTAGAGTAAGCAAAGGGTCACCCTGAAAGTCACTGGGATGGCTGGCTGGGAGGAGGGCTATGCAGGAACTCTCCGAGGAGTCTGAGCCAAAGGCGGAGTCTGCAGGGGAGGCAGCGGCAAAATGAACTTGGCAAAGATGCTCAGAGCCACATGGGGGCCTGTGGAGGCGTGTTGCTCTATTGTCCCCTCATTCCGCTTGCCGAGCTGGGAAGCTCAGTCCTGCCCCCTCCTTCCCTGCCCTGCCTCAACTTCCCCAGTCTTTTCAGCCATGACCCAGCTCCCTCTTATCCTCCCTTCATGGACCGCAAGGAACAATGGAAAGGACGCCATCCAAAAACAGGCATCTTCCCCAAGGCCGAAAGGGATGCCGTGCGGAGGACGGGGAGGACATGTTTTCAGTTGTGATGGATGGCAGGGCATGGATGAATGGATATAAAATACAGCAAAGGAAGTTTCGACGAAATTGAAGGAAGAACGTCCTGACATGGAGGTGTAGGAACATAAGGGCTGTGCTGGATCCGACCAATCGTCCATCTGTTCTGGCATCCTGCCTCACACAGTGGCCAGCCAGTTCCTCTGGAGGGCCAACAACAGGGCATAGAGGTTGAGGCCTTCATAAGAACATCAGAAGAGCCCTGCTGGGTCAGACCAGTGAGGGTCCATCTAGTTCAGCCTCCTGTCTCACACAGTGGCCAGCCAGTTCCTCTGGAGGGCCAACAACAGGGCAGAGAGGCCGAGGCCTTTATAACAACATCAGAAGAGCCCTGCTAGGTCAGATCAGTGATCCATCTAGTCCAGCCTCCTGTCTCACACAGTGGCCAACCAGTTCCTCTGGAGGTCCAACAACGGGGCATAGAGGCCAAAGCCTTCATAAGAACACAGGAAGATCGCTGCTGGATCAGACCAGTGGTCACAGAATCATAGAATCATCGAGTCCAGCCTCCTGTCTCACACAGTGGCCAAACAGATTCTCTGAAGGGCCAACAGCAGATCATAGAGGCCAAGGCCTTCCTAAGAACATCAGAGGACCTCTGCTGGACCCAACCAGTGGTCCATCTAGTCCAGCATCCTGTCTCACACAGTGGCCAACCAGTTCCTCTGGAGGGCCAACAACAGGGCAAAGAGGCCGAGGCCTTCAGAAGAGCATCAGAAGAGCCCTGCAGGATCAGACCAGTGAGGGTCCATCTAGTCCAGCCTCCTGTCTCACACAGTGGCCAATCAGTTCCTCTGAAGGGCCAACAGCACATCATAGAGGCCGAAGCCTTCCTAAGAACATCAGAAGAGCCCTGATGGATCCAACCAGTGGTCCATCTAGTCCAGCATCCTGTCTCACACAGTGGCCAACCAGTTCCTCTGGAGGGCCAACAATGGGGCACAGAGGCTGAGGCCTTTCCATGATGTTGCCTACGCACTCTGGGATATAGAGGATTAGTGCCTCTGAATGTGGAGGTTCCCCTCAGTCACCATAGCGGGTAGCCACTGATAGACCTCTCCTCCATGAATCTGTCTAATCCCCTTTTGAAGCCGTTTATTCCTGTGGCCATCACTACAACCTCGGGCAGCGGATTCCACATTTTAATCACTCTCTGTGTAAAGCAGTATTTCCTTTTGTCTTTTTTTTTTATTTTTTTTTTTTTAATAAGTTTATTTTCCAAGTTTTCACCTTTACATTCCATATATATAGTATAAGATAATTCATCAAACATTTATACATCTCCATAGATTGTTGGTTTCAAATTATAATAATTTCACTAGCGCTTTGTCCACACATTATACTCTTCTTTTATATTTTAGCCAGTCATATATATACTTCCATCTTTTCCAAAATACATTCTCTGATTTGTTTTTCAATTCTAAGCTCAGTTTATCCAATTCTGCAATGTCTAAAATCTTATGTTTGAGTTCTTTTATCGATGGTATATGTTTTGATTTCCACCGTCTTGCTATTAATATTCTTGCTGCTGTTAATATATATATTATTATTACCTTGTGATTTTTTATATTGTCCGGGATCATGTTTAATAAATATATTTCAGGTTTCATAGGTAGATTTATTTTAAATACTTCTCGTATGATTTTGTGTATTTTTTTCCAATATTGTTGTATTTTCCCACATCTCCACCAAATATGGAGATATGCCCCTACGTTTTTCCCACATCTCCAACATAAGTTTGAAGATTGTGGGAAACATTTGGCAATTTTATCAGGGGTCCAATGCCACCTGTAAAACATTTTATAGATATTTTCTTTGTAGGGGATTGCTTTCATATATTTTATTGACTTCCACAATTTGTTCCATTGAGCTATATTTAAGGGGGTTCCTATCTCTTTGTCCCAGGTCATCATTGACTTTTTAATAGTATCTTTTTCTAATGCTTCCTCCAATAGTTTAGAATACAGTTTCTGGATTAATTTATCGTTAGACGGAAGCCATATTTTATCTATTTCGTTTTGATTAGTATAGAATCCTGTTTTTTTATCTGTCGCGTATCGAGTGTTAATTATGTTTTGGTCCCACCAAGTTATTTTAATATTTTCTTTTCTTAATACATCTTCATTTTTAAGTTCCATTTTTTCATTCAGGAGAGTGCTGTATGTTAGTGCCGTATTTCCTTTTGTCTTTTCTCAACCTACTGCCCATCAGCTTCACTGGATGCCCTCGGGTTCTACTTACCGACTTCTTGGTATCTTCCAACAAATATTTCAGCAGCACAGGATCTGCAAATTTCAAATAGTTGTCCAAGGGTTTAAATTGGGCAAGTAAAGGAAAAATTAGCTGGTGTCTCTCTCTGAAATAAAGTTTGCAATGTAAAAGAATGTGTGTGATTGTTTCAACTTCTTTTTCTGCACACAGACAACATCTTTGATGTGTACGCCAACGGAGATACCTTCCTTGCAGTAAATTAGAAGGGAAGGCATCAAAATGCGCTCTAGAGAAAGCCCATCGATACTTTTCATATGTAATGTTAGAGAGATACGGTGCTGCTGCAAATCCAGGCCAAGATTTTAGGTTACTGTACATCTTGGGCAAAAGCGCTTCATCAGGTGTTTTAAACTATGTTGTACACCGCCCTGAGCCCTTTGGGGGAGGGTAGTATAGAGATGATGGTGATGATGATGATGATGATGAAGAAGAAGACAGACCTCTATCACTCCCCCCCCCCAGTCATTTCTTTTCTACACTGGTGTGTTTGACACTGGAACAGTTTCCCTTGTGAGGTGATGGAGTCTTCATTGCTGGGGGGCTTTTAAGTATCGCTGCGGCACCAACTTCTCAAGGATATTACAGCTGTAGATACAAGCTTTTGAAAGTCAAAGCTTGACTCTCAGGACCTCATACTCAGAAATTCTCGTTGGTCTCTGAAGTGCCACTGGACTCAAATCTCACTCTACTACATATATAAAGGAACGTAATGCCTGGCCTTGTATACAGGCAAACAGGAAGGAGGAGGAGGAGGAGGAGGAGGAAGAGGAAGAGGAAGAGGAAGAGGAAGAGGAAGAGGAGGAGATTGGACTTCTACCCCATCCTTCTCAGGGTTGTCACTAGGGACGACTGCCGCCATAGAATCATAGAATCATAGAGTTGGAAGGGATCTCTGGGGTCATCTAGTCCAACCTCCCGCACAATGCAGGAATTCACAAAATACCTCCCCCCCACACACACACCCAGTGACCACTGCTCCCTGCCCAGAAGATGGGGAAAAAAATCCTCCAGGATCCCTGGCCAAACCAGCCTGGAGAAAAATAGTTTTCTGACCCCATACTGGTGATCAGCATTTCCCTGGGCGTGTAAGAAAGGGCCGCAAGACGAAGAAGAAGAAGAAGAAGAAGAAGAAGAAGAAGAAGAAGAAGAAGAAGAAGAAGAAGAAGAAGAAGAAGAAGAAGAAGAAATTGGATTTCTACCCCACCCTTCACTACCCAAAGGTGTCTCAGAGCGGCCTACAAATTCCTTTCCCTTCCCCTCCCCACAACAGACACCCTGTGAGGTAGGCGGTGCTGAGAGAGCTCTGACAGAAACTGCTCTTTTTCAAGGACAGCTGTGCCAGAGCTTGTGACTGACCCAAGGTCACATGAGCAGGTGCAAGTGGAGGAGTGGGGAATCAAACCCGGTTCTCCCAGATTAGAGTCCACACACTTAACCACTACACCAAACTGGCTCCTAAGCACTGATGCAACCCTTCCTGCCCTCCCTCTCATGCGCATCAGCCCATGCGCTTGTGGATTCTTGGAAACTAATAGAGGCCTAGTAAGTCTTATGAAGACTAAGAGCTTGAGAAAGATATCCATTGGAAACAGGCCAGTTGTATATTACAAGCCTGAAGGTCTCCATGCTTCAAGGGCCTTGTCTCCGGGTCTTGCAGAGAATGCTTCTTTCTGTTCTTACAGCCGAAGAGGACTGTGGATTGGCTCGGCCCCTTTAAGATGATATCCCAGCAGGTTTTATGCCCTGCTTGCATTTGTATGTCTTTTAATGTGACAACACACTTTGTGCTTTTCGTCACAATCGCTGTAAATATTTTTTGTAAAAAACAGATTATGTTTACATCCTTTAAGTGCAGTGGTCAAGTCCGCGGACTCTAATCTGGGAGAACTGGGTTTGAGTCCCCACTCCTCCACTTGCACCTGGATGGATGACCCTGGGCAAGCCGTAGTTCTGAGAAGAGCTGATCTTGAAAAAGAGCAGTTTCTGTCAGAGCTCTCTCAGCCCCGCTGGGGAGGGGAAGGGAGAGGAGTTTGTGAGCTGCTCTGAGACTCCCTTGGGTAGTGAAAGGGGGGTTATAAATCCAATCTCTTCTTCTCTTCTTTTGCACCATTGGTTGAAGTCAGGGTGGTGGCAGCTGGGGGTGACGAATGGTGGCCTGAGTAGAGGCAGACTAGCTCAATCCTGGCAGAGGGCAGAGCCAGCTGAATGCCAGTGGAGTCCTGCCTCAAGGAGGAACCCCCCCCCCCGCCACGGCTCCCATTCATCTCAGCGCTTGGCTTTCACTCAGGAAGCAGGAGGCGAGGGGGGGGAGGCAGGTAGGTCCACCCTGTTCATGAGCCGCGGTGGCCAAGAAAGGCTATATAGCCTACCCAGAAGGAGCTCCTGGCACCGAAGGCTGGTTTTTTCCAGCTCAATGGGGCCCGGGGCTTTCCTCCTCCTGCTGGAGCTCATCACACTGGCGACGAAGCATGGCTTGGAGGGTAAGTGCAGCTTCTGCGTGTTTCTCCGCTGCCTGTGCATGCGTTCGTGTGGGGGCTGACCTACACACTCGGGTCGTCGTCGTTTTTAATTGATGTTTTTTTATTAAAACACGTAGGTACATAGATATCATTTCATTTTACAGAGTTTCTCAAACGAATATCAGAATAAATGTCAACATGTTACTTAAATTGGATCAATAAATCAGTATTTTTTCTTATTACTAGGATAGCAGATATAACATTAGCAACAGGTATATACTCAAAACAAATATTAGAATGGAAATTGGGACAAACGATACACTTGGAGTGTTAAAAAGCAGGGTCTGAGCTCCCTGTGCCCAACTCAGGTCGGCCCCCCCCCAGCCACACAGCAGCTTTGGCAAACGCCTTCTTAAAAACAAAGGAGAGCCCAAACAGGCTATAAATGCTGCCATGGAGGGAGGGCTCCTGACCTCCCCTGGCTGTTTCCCCAGGACAACACAGTGCCGAGGGAGAGGGACTTCCCTCATTTTTCCACTCCCCCAGTTAGCTCCGACTAGCCCAACACTGTCAGAGCTTGGAAGCGAAGCAGGGTCAGCCCTGGGCAGTATTCGAGTGGGAGACCAGCAAGGAAGTCCAGGGTGGCTGCACAGAAGTGGGGAATGGCAAAGAGACTGCCTGTCTCTTGCCCTGAAAAGCCCATACGGCACTTCCCACCCCCACCACAGTGCTGTTAAAAACCTCAACCTGTACTTTGGTCCTGACTCCTGAGAGGGGGGGGGAGAGGGGGAGGAGGGAAAGAAAGAGGGAGAGGGGGGGAGAGAGAGAGGAAGGAAGGAAGGAAGGAAGGAAGGAAGGAAGGAAGGAAGGAAGGAAGGAAGGAAGGAAG